ACAGTATATATTTTGAAAATATTTACATGTATTTACATGTCTATATTTATATTCATATAAATTATATTATAAATAAATATATTTAATATATAAACATAACATATTTTTCTGAAATATATACATGCATGTGTGTGTATTTATATATACATAATAAATATACACAGCACACACATATATTATGTAAACAAAAACTTTTATTTTGGATGCGATTAATGGCGATTAATCATTTGACGGCACTAATTTCAACTTAATTTAGCATTTTATCGTCACATTAAATGTATATTTTAATTTACATTTTTATTTTACATATTCATTAAAACATTATTTAGTATTTATCCTTATTTAGAACCCTTTACAGAATCCCTATAGTGCTAAGAGAAACATGAATGTTTGTGAATATGTAGTGCTTTAGTCTGGTGCTGCCATCTCAATAATTTCAATGCTATTGGTTGAAAAATATTTATGATGGAGCACAAATAGTTAGATATGCTAGATCAAATTACAGTGGTGCTAGTAACAGTGAAGCGTTTATGTGAGGTTTTAGCTAATTAATATGGAATCATTTAGTGTTTTATGTGATGCGTTCCACTTTTATGTTCTGTGTCAGATTGATTCTTACGGTGGATGATCAGTGTGTGCTGAACGCGGTTTGAGACGCTGACTGTGAGCCCTTCATGGGCGGCTCAGGGTCAGATGTATGTGACGGCTCAAGGCGAGCGGGGATGATTTGTTGGGTCACTGCGTTTAGCAGTGGCTCGTGAATCAGCCGCTGGAGCTGAAAGGTCATGCGTTTGCTCTGTTGCAGGTGTGATGAAGGCTTCACCGGCTCAGACTGCCAGACGCTCAACACTCTGGCCTCCAGTGTGCTCTCAGACTTCGAGTCGCAGGAGACCCTGGTGTCAGCGTGGCAGGAGGCGACCGGAGGCGAGATCGTGCCGCCCGACCAGGGCTGTGGGGTGGTTTCCTCCGGGTCCTCTCTGTACTTCAGCAGGGTATGATAACAGCCCTGTTACAGAACGAGTATTCAGCTGGACTTTTTCTGCTTGCTTCTGCTTGTTTGGCTTCTCCAGTCTCTCTTTTGTAAAGGAAGTCTGTATTGTGATTTTTCCTAAACTTTATTTAGTTTTCTGATAAGGCATACACTTCAACAAATGTGAGGCACGGTACAAACAACACTACAGTACATTTAAATATACAGAAATAAGTAGACACAAAATAATGTAAAAGATGTCAAAGATAAATATCCCTGAATATATGAATCTCTAGAAAATGAATGAATGAATGAATGAAAATGTCACAGAAATATGATAGAGTGCATAAGACCAGTATAAAGTGATCATATTCCCTAATCTAATACAGGCTTCCATATTTTCCAAAATAAATGTAACTTGTCAACTTCTGTATTCTTGTAAGCTTGTGTTGATGTGAAATCATCAACATAAAAGATTCCTTCATATTTGGTTCTGATTCCCCAATGTCCTTTTCATTTTTTTAATTCACAGGCCTTGATCTTGAACTTCAGTGTTCTGTGAGAGATGAAAACTATGACTGAAACAAAATCTAGTGTGAATCTGGAGTAAAAACCCATTTCATCATGACGTAAAGCGAGACTCTAGATGACAGTGTTGTCTGTGATCGCTGGTATTATGTCACAGAGGCTGTGTAACTCTCGTTGGTCATCAGGCTGGGCTGCGGCAGCTGGTCAGCTGGGATCTGGACACGGAGTGGGCGGAGTTTGTGCAGTTCTACCTGCGGATGGGCGGAGACGGGGCGGAGTGTAACCAGGCCGACAGCAGAGAGGAGGGGCTTCTGCTGCAGTACAGCAATGATGGTGGAATCAGCTGGGGTCTGATCGCAGAGATGTACTTCACTGACTTCACCAAACCACGGTGAGAAGAACAACTCAGTCAATAATGCTCTGTTTGTTTAAGATTTTTACTTTAAAAATGAGGAATTCCAGGATCAAACTACATGTAATACATCCAAACTGGCAAAAGAAAAGGGCTATTTAAACTAAGGATACATTCATGCAGAACAAGTTCTTGTGTTTAAAGGCAGGGTATGTGATTTTTCAAAAACACTTTAGAAAACTGATTCGGGCCGAATAGCAAAACAAACTTGTAGCCAATCAGCAATAAGGGGCGTGTCTACTCGTGGTGTGGGGGAGGGGGCTTTCAGTGCATGGGACGGACATTAGCCGAGCCGAGCGACAGAAAGATAGAGATGGCAGATAAAAAAACAAAAGAGGAAAACGTCTGCGGAAAGATAAGGCAAGAAGTAGGACCCGTGTAAAATATTGGATCAGCTTTCCAGTGCTGGAGAGAACTCAAGGAGCGGAGGCCTGCGATCGGACGCCGAGGTTGCTTTGTTTCTTCTCAATAGGTGAGTAACACCGTGTCTACAACAGCTAAAGTCTGACTACACTGGACGCGATCAAACGACCGTTGAAAACCATTTGAAATGTGTGTCAGCACATCATAAATAGAACCCGGCAGCAGTTTTCTGTCGGGATTTGTTGCGCCGCGCCGCTCACATCCGTAGACACGGTGTAACATTGGTTTTGCTTTGTTTCACAGAACTAATCGTTGCCTGGGTTGCGTACGTATATGTGGGGCGGAGCTATCAAAATAGGGGCAAGACCCTTTTGGGGTAGGGGCGTGTTTGTTTTGGTGATTTCAAATATAAACATTGACTACCAGAAATCCCTTACTCTGCCTTTAAAAGAAATCACTTACTCTGCCTTTAAAACAAGCGTGCGACGCAGCGGAATGGAAGTAGGAGTGAACTCGGGGATCTTGAGATGCGTTTTTAAAAGCTGAGCATCTTTTGAAAGAGCAGTGCAGTGGAACGTAATAACACATTCTGTGTGACCCGGCCATAACAATGATTTAAATACTGCAGCTAGTTATTTTATCGAACCATCTGATATATGTGACCCTGGACCACAAAACCAGTCATAAGGGTCAATTTTTTGAAACTGAGATGAGCTGAGATACAACTATTTGAAAATCTGGAATCTGAGGGTGCAAAAAAAATCTAAATATTGAGAAAATCACCTTTAAAGTTGTCCAAATGAAGTTCTTAGCAATGCATATTACTAATCAAAAATTAAGTTTTGATATATTTACGGTAAGAATAAGTAACAAAATATCTTCATGGAACATGATCTTTACTTAATATCCTAATGATTTTTGGCATAAAAGAAAAATCTATAATTTTGACCCATACAATGTATTGTTGGCTATTGCTACAAATATACCCCAGCGACTTAACACTGCTTTTGTGCTCCAGGGCCACATATTTCTGTGAGTGTCACGTCCACCGTACTGTGTATTTAGCATCTTTATGTGAATGTATTCTGAGTGTTTGTGACTGGATGATGTGGTTTGGCTCAGGTTTGTTCATTATGAACTTCCTCTGGCCTCTAAAACTCCCTGCACGCGTTTCCGCTGGTGGCAGCCGCTGCACTCGGGCGAGGGCTATGATCAGTGGGCCATCGATGACGTGATCATCCTGTCTGAGCGAGAGAAGCACGTCATCCCCATGGCCGATCCTACACTGCCTCAGGTGAGACGGACACAAGCGCATTCTGCTGCAGCGCTCCTGAAGATACGACAGAGCTCTGATTCTCCTGTGCTTCTGCAGAACTTCTACGAGAAACCGGCTTTCGATCATCCGCTCAACCAGATGAGCGTGTGGCTGATGCTGGGAAATGAAGGAATGGACAAGGACCGTAACGGGAGTTTCTGCGCTCCCACTCCCTCTGCACTAGTGTTCGGCCGGTCGGACGGGGACCGGATGGCAGTGACCCGAGACCTGGCGCTCCGTCCCGGATACACGCTGCAGTTCAAGGTACTGATGTAAGGCTGCGTGGAGGAACTCTTCCTTTTCATAAGCATGAAATACTTTATAAAGCTCTCAACTGATTAAAAATGCAATCACATTAATTATATAATAAACTGATTCATTAACCCAATTAACTGCAAATAAAAGAGAAGCCCCCAAATCATCAAACACTGTCGCACAGCAAGACTTCATATGGAGTTTTTTCTGCGCTGCTTTTTAACATTGGCAAATTAAAATTGAAATTAAAATTTTCTAAAAGCATGTTATAGACCTTATTGTGAACAAGCAATCCATTTTTAATTGGTCCCCATCATTTTTCATCAAAATGTCATAACTGGATCTTCTCTCTGGTGACATGTGCAGGATTTCTCCAATCATTTAGTGCTCTTAAACTCCGCCCCTCAAGCTTATGCACATCTGCATACACGTTTGAGTGCCACGCCCACCTCTCAACATCCAATCAACAACTGATGCACAGAACCAAGTTCTACCCTACATTTTTTTCATTTTTGATAATCCATTACACTCGAATATACGTCACAATATGGAAGAAACAATGTGTTGCTGCTTTATTTTCATTGCAGCTTTAATTGTCGGTGTAAACATACGTCAGACGGACATCTTTGTTTGCGTGTGGTTTGAAGCATGTCACATGCAGCATCAGCATCATCTGCTGACTGCAGACTCACAATAACAGCGCTTTTGCTTTGCTGTGTGTGTGTGTGTGTATGAGTGTGTGAGTGGGGTGTGTGTGTGTGTGTGTGTGTACTTAACCATATTTTGGGGACAAATTTGTACCCAAAAGTGAGCTAAGCCTGACAAAATCTCCAAAAACTTCCCTTTGGGGATGTCCTCATTTGTAAAACTGGTATAAAAATAAAGTAAACAAAGTTTTTTTTTAATTGTAAAAATGCAGAACTTTGCCTTTGTTTAGTGTGCAGATTTTTTGCCTTTGCTTTTTGTATGTTTTTCTGTTCACTGAATCTACACACCCAATTACAAACATATTATTTTTATTTTACATCATTGGCACATAATTTTTTCATATTTCTACAGTGTAGACAGCGCAGTAACGTTGTTCTGTTTCTCCTTCAGCTGAACATCGGCTGTGAGTCAGTCTTCAGTGCGTCTGCGCCAGTGCTGCTCCAGTACTCTCATGACGCGGGCCGCACATGGGCTCTGGTGCGGGAGGGCTGTTACCCAGCATCCCCTGGGGCCACGAGCTGCGAGGGCAGCGGACGTGAACTCAGAGAGCCCACTGTGTACCACACGGGAGACTACGAGCGCTGGACCAGAGTCACCGTCGTATTGCCACGGATCGTAGCCGCCAGGTAACTGGACCCGGGGATTGTTCTGAGAACAGGGTCCGAACGTGGAGTCATACTGTCAGAGACATGGGGATATTTCTAAAGAACAGTTATTTAAAATATTTTTCGTAAGATTTTCTAAATGCTTTATAGCCATTTCTTTACGCCGCAGGCAAATATCCCAGGGGTTGATTTTTTTGGTAACACTTTACAATACAGTGGCACTAATATGCATTAATTCATGCTTAACTAATGCAGAGATAATCATGAATTAATGTGTAACTCATGAAGAACTAAACCATTTATTAATAATTACTGCATCAGCACAGATGAAAATTCTATATGATTCATAGATTAAGTAATCAATAAATTGTTATTAGTCAAATGTGTCATAATGTGTTAATTCCCTAATAACATAATTATATTAACCAATAGTGTAAATTAATATGTTAATTACCACCACAATGGGTCGAAACCATGCATTTCAACTTCCAGGTGTCTGCTTTAATTAATCATTAGCTAATGATTTGCAAAGATATAATTATGTTATGACTACTTGTTGAGGCACATGACTAACTAACTAATTCAAAATCCATAACCCACAATGACGTATTACTTCATTAGTTAATAGTTGTGTGCCTCAACAAGTAAAGTCATAACATAATGATACCTTTGCAAATCATTAGCTAATGATTAGTTAAAGCAGACAACTCGAAGTGTAAGTACATAGCTTTGACCACTGTGCTAATTAACATGTGAATATACATCATTAGTTAATATAATATGTTATTAGGGAACTAATTATGACAAATTTAACTAATAACAATTTATTTATTACTTAATCTATGAATCATATAGAATATTCATTAGTTGCTGATGTAGGAATCATTAATAAATGGTTTAGTTCTTCATGAGTTATACATTAACTCGTGATTATCTGTGCATTAGTTAAGCATGAACTAATGCACGTTTGTGCAGCCGTATTGTAAAGTTTTACCTTTTTTCTCAAGGTAATGATTATGATAATGATTATAGCCTCAGTTTTGGTGAGCTCATGCGTGTGATCTCTATATTCCCGTGTAATTTTCAGCAAGACGCGCTTCCGCTGGTTCCAGGAGAGCAGTGTCTATCGGGACGCCCCTGCGTTTGCGCTGGATGGCGTCTACATCTCTGAGCCCTGTCCCAATCACTGCGGCGGTCACGGAGACTGCATCTCAGGCGTCTGCTTCTGTGATATGGGATACACAGGTAACACTCACATGTTGAATGTCTCTTTGTCTCTATTTTGGTGAGGCACCACCAGTGTTGGGGAAAGTTACTTTTAAAAGTAATGCATTACAATATTGCATTACTCCCTAAAAAAGTAACTAATTACGTTACTTAGTTACTTTTTATAGAAAAAATGTGTTATGTTACTTTTGAGTTACTTTTTAAATCTGGGCAGGGCTTGCTTGTTTGTTTTTAATATAAAAAGGTATATTTTTGGCAAATGTAAAAGCCCTTTCACACCAAAAGTGAAATGAATACGCTGAAGGAAGTGTAAATTCAGAGGGCCCAGCTCAAACAAATTGCATAAAGAATATGATGAAATATGAAGAAAGTTCAATATTATTCTGCAATAACAAAAATAATTTTCATTTTGTGTCATTTTTGCTTATTAGTATGGTTGAATTGGATCATCGAAGGTCAGCAGCAATGACATTGTTTAATAAAATGGGATTAAATACATAAATGATATTGTCTTATTTAACATTTAATTATTGCAGCTTTGTATAATATTCTGAGTTTGCATTTGACTGTTTTTATTGAATTTGAGGAACACTGAATCTGTTTTTGTGCAAACACATGTTGATATTTAGTCTAGAGCTACAGTAAGATCATGTTCACACACAACGCTCTGCACTTACTCCTGATTTCTGTCACCATGGCAACACCAGAGCTGTCACTCAACACATGGAAACAAAGTAACTATGTTACTTATTTGAAAAAGTAGCTCAGATATTTCCATCTAAATTAAAAAGTAATATGTTACTTTACTAGTTATTTGAAAAAAGTAATCTGATTACATAACTTGCGTTACTTGTAATGCATCCCCCCCAACACTGGGCACCACTATATGTGATGTTATAGATTGTTTTCATGTTCATGTATGTTTGGTTATGTTTGTGTTTGCGGCGGTCAGTGGAGGTGGACCGGTCCAGCTGTGTCCCGTCTGCTCCGAGTCCCACTGAACTGGTGGAGGATTTCGAGGGGAAGCTGAGCCCGCTGTGGCAGAGCCTGAGCGGAGGACAGATCGGTGACGGCTGCGGGAGCATCAGCGAAGGGAAAGCTCTGTACTTCAGCAGCCTGGGCAGACGAGAGGCTTGCACCACGCCGCTGGACACCACCCACACCCGGTCAGTGCCACAACACTGCTGGACGCTCGCAAACAGTGAAGCTTTAGACCTTCACGTGACACCAACCATGTGTTACACGTTCACTGCTTGTGTTTGTTTTCTCCCTAACTCACGTAGAACACTCTGTTGTCTTTTGTTTTCTTCTTCCGTACAGTTTGGTTCAGTTCTACATTCGTATCGGAGGGAAAAACATGGGCTCCACCTGTTCTCGTCCCCGCTCCCGAAATGAAGGTGAATGTTGTGGACAGTAACTGCTGATCTGCAGTACATTGAAAAAAAAATCTACTGTAGAATTTACAGTAAAAAACTGGTAGCCAGAATTTTACCGTAAAAACTACGGTAGCAACATTTTAGGTTTTACGGATTTAACTTAAATTTACATTTAAATACCGTAATTTCATTAACTGATATAATGTTAATATACTGTACGTACCTATTAAAGTACTGAAATCTGTTTAGTACATTTGTAGTACACTGATAACCACTAAAGGCAGGTGGTGGTGAGAAAGTCACATGATGAACCAAAGCTCATCACAAATAGCTTTTCCACAAGCTGAGAAAGAAAATACTAATATATAGAAGGTGTCATTCACACAAATACTAAACACAATCATGTTAAAGGGAGAGTTCACCCAAAAATGGAAATTCTGTCATTAATTACTCACCCTCATGTCGTTCCAAACCCGTAAGACTTTCGTTCATCTTCGGAACACAAATTAAGATATTTTTGATGAAATCCGAGAGCTCACTGACCCTCCATAGACAGCAAGGATCCTAACACGATCAAGGTCCAGAAAGGTAGCTGCGTCATGTGGATACATTGTTTTCATTCAGATCAAAGCGTAAACAACGTAGACAGCGTATCCGCGTGACGCAGCTGACGCACAACAGCATTCGTTGTTTACGTTCAGTGGAATGTAATACATGTGAATAAAGTCATTATTTTTGTTTTCTTTGCACACAAAAAGTATTCTCGTAGCTTTATAACATTTATCTAGTTACTATGTAAGTACACAGGTATTAGGGCCACTAAATATAAAGTGGGACCGAAAAAACTAAGAAGAAACAGTTATTTCAACAACAAAAAATCATCAAATGTGAAATGTAACACTGGGAATTCTGGGAATGTCCATTTATGGTTTTTCACTGTATATAGTAAGGGAACTTACCATTAACCAAATAATAGGTTTTTACTGTAGCATTTTTACAGTCTTTTACCGTTAAAATCACAATAATTTTGTACAGTGTAGTCCTTTAACAGACATGGTACTGAAATAATGCAACAAACATTAATTTACCAGCATGGTCCCACTTTATATTAAGTGGCCCTAATACCGGTGTACTTACATAGTAACTAGATGTGTACATAGTATGTAACCACAGTGTAAGTACACATTGGTACATACTATCTACAGCTGTAATGTTTGTGTAACTACACACATGTAATTTTGTACAGTGTAGGTCACATGGACTGGACTGGAATATTGTCATCCTTTTTATGTCATTTGATGTCTATGTAAATCACATCAGCTTGAGCAGCTGGATGAGACGATCATGTACCAAAAATACTGCAGCTTGTGCCTTTTTCTCATTTTGTCAGTAATTCAGCAATTATTCCTTGCTTATGTTTGACAGGTGTGATTGTCCAGTTTTCCATAAACAATGGTGTTCAGTGGCAGCTCCTACGAGAGCTGGACTTTGGCTCGTTCCTGGAGCCTCAGGTGGTGACGATCGAGCTCCCGCCCGCGGCTAAGACGCCTCACACTGTGTTCCGCTGGTGGCAGCCGCAGCAGGGTGAGAACAGACCAGTGTCATGTGATGAACTTACTGAAGGTGTTGTGATGCAGTGCCTGACAGGAGACATGTGTTCCTCTTTCTCAGGTAAACACTCGGCCCAGTGGGGTCTGGATAACGTTCTGATCGGAATGAACGACAGCGCTAGGAGTGGGTTCTTCGACACGTTTGATGGCACGTCTCCATTGAGACACAACTGGTATCGAGTCGTAGGTGGAGAGGTGACAGCAGACTGTCTGAGCCCAGACTCAGTGCTGAACTTCAACTCCGAGGTCATGGACAGTGAGTTAATCGCCAACACACCCATAACCTCATGTTCATCACAAACATTTATATGTGCATTTTCATCTGGAAAATGAGGAGTTTACTCATCTGCAATATGTTGCTACAACATTTTATGATGTGTGTGATGTCGAAGGAGTCTGAATTGGCTCCTTTGAACATGTTTATCAGATGCGTGTACACAATAATGTATTTAAATTCACAATTTAGATAACGTAAATTGACTGTGTACAAAGGGTGGCACAATACTAAGTTGCTCAGGCTTCATTAAGGGGCAGTTTGTATTTGTATTTACAGCGGTGGCCAAAATGATTAGAACACTAGAATTTTCACCAGCTAAGTCAGTTACTTATGTCTATCTCTTGCTGTAGTGTGTCAGTAGGAAATATCAGTTTACATGTCCAAACATTCATTTGGCCATTAATTGTGATAATGCAGTGAGATGTTTGTGCTGCACACAGAGATGTGATCTGATCATCATCAGTCTGTCTGGAGTCACATGAAGAAACAGAACAAACTGAGACAGACTCAATCCAGAAGAACTGTGTCTCCGAGACGCTTCAAGAAACCTCCTGCAAAGCTACAGAGCTGTTAAAAGTGTTAGGCACTTGTGTAAAAGGATGCTGTCAAAAAATAATGTCATAAACAGATTTTCTTTATCACTTAACTTCTATTAACTAAATTAAACCAACATTTGGTGTGAGCATCTTTGTGTTTAAAGCAGCTTTTGCCCGAATGTTTGGAAATGCAAACTGATATTTTCTGCTGACACACTACAGCAAAAGATAGACATAACTGACTTAAAACCATTTTTAGCTGCTGGAAATAATGTTCTAATAATTTTGGCCACCGCTGTAGGTCTATCTTTAAAGCATTTCTATAAAAGTGACTTTACACTATACATACAAAGCCTTTTAGAAAGATGCACCCCTTCAGAACTGGATGACTCAGACTTGCATCACAGAATCTGTATGATCTGACTGCAGCAGGGTTTAAGGTGATGAATGCTCTCTCTCTCTCTCTCTCTCTCTCTCTCTCTAGAGAGGCCGCGTTACGCTGAGAGCTGGGACTTCGAAGTGTCTGGCTCTTCGTTCCTGCAGTTTGATCTGAGCATGGGCTGCAGTAAGGCTGCGTCTCCAGCCCACGGCGTCCATCTGGAGTTCTCCACAGACTGCGGGAGACACTGGACGCTCATCACGCCCGAGTGTGTGCCTCCGGCCATCGGCTGCTCCGGATACACGCAGCGGTCCGTGTTCAGCGCTCCACAGTTCCTGCAGTGGAGGAGAGTCACCGTCTACTTGCCCAGCGCTGCCATGTAGGACCCGCTCCGACTCTTCACACAGAGGATCCTGTGACTGTGTCTCAGATGATTTATACATGCATAGTCTCACACTAAGGGCCAGATTTACTAAACGGCAAATTAGCGTTAGAGCGCAGTTCCATAAAAACTCCTACAAATGCATATTCAATAAGGTCAGGCGCAAAAATAACTGTGTGTCCACACCTTTTCAGCACTAATTCTTCACTGCACGTCTTTAGTAAATCCTGACAGTACTATTTTAACACCGAAAGACGGTTTGTGCTGGCGCCAGCTGTTAGTAAATCTGGCCCTAATCGTTTGTAGCCCCTGCAAAAAAGTACCGTGGCAGTAACAGTGATGGTATTAAATGATAATACTGTGGTACTTTGGTATGTACCATGATATTTAACATTTTGCTTTATGCCTTGGTACGTGTCCTGCGATAATCAGTGTGTCTACAAACATCACATGCGCGAAATGGGTTAAGATGAAGTGATGGCATGAATAGCAGTAAACTGCAAAGCGCAAACCTTAAACACCTTGATTTATTTTTATTCTCTCCTCCCATAAATACTGCGTCTGAAAGAGAAACTCCTACAAATGAAAATGCAATAAGATCAGCTGCAAAAATAACTGCGTCCACAGCTTTTCATCGCTAATGTTTCACTGCACGTCTTTAGTAAATCCTGACAATAATTCACCATGGGTTTCATCAAGAATGTTCTATGGTTTTAATGGCATTTTTTCAGTTCAAGAGTGAAATAAGGTGTGTGGTAAACATAACTTGATGATACTTTGTCGTAAACATAAATTGCACACACTCTCCAAACTTATTGAAAACATACGTTTTTAAAAACGGACATAACTGCTTCAAAATTTCTGTTTTCAGTATAGGTGTGTATAATTTACGTTGTAGAGTAAAACATCTTCAGTTCAAGAGTGAAATAAGGTGTGTGGTAAACATAACATAACGTAAACATAAATTGCACACACTCTCCAAACTTATTGAAAACATACGTTTTTAAAAACGGACATAACTGCTTCAAAATTTCTGTTTTCAGTATAGGTGTGTATAATTTACGTTGTAGAGTAAAACATCTAAGTATCATGAAGTTATGTTTACCACAGACCTTGTTTTACTCATAAACAAAACAAAACATTATAAAACCTAATAGGAAAATCTCAAAGGAATCTTCTGAGTTTTGGCATCACAGCTGTGTAAGTTTGCATGTTTGAATGTTGTTCCCGATCCTGTAGTTCCCCCAGAACACGGTTCCGCTGGATCCAGCCTCTCTTGGCTCCTGGAGCTGATGACTGGGCGCTGGATAATGTGCTGCTGACACCCGGCTGCCCGTGGATGTGCTCGGGTCATGGACTGTGTGACAACGGACACTGTGTGTGAGTGTGGACTCCAGCTGCTTTAGCTCCTGATAGCTTCATATTCCTCACATGCTCCTCAGCGATCCTGCAGTCACGCTGGGTTTTCTCTCGCTCAGCTGTGATAAGGGCTTCGGCGGGCCGCACTGTGTGCCTCTAGTCGCTTTGCCGTCCGTTCTGAAGGAAGATTTCAATGAGAACCTGAGGGCTGATGTCTGGCCGGAGGTGTACGGCGCAGAGAGGGGCACGCTGAGCGGAGAGCCTCTGAAATCAGGAACGGCCCTCATCTTTAAAGGAGTGAGTATTGCAGTCAAACAGCTGGGATCTTCCAGTGGAGAATTTCTGCACTGCATTATGCATCGAATCCTCCATCGTCACAGCAGTTAGGGACCACTTGTTTCCAGCATTTCACGAACAGAGTAAAGGTTATGTGTATTTGGCTCCGAGCCCAGAGTTAGGATAGGGTTAGTTGTAAGGGTGGAGATGGGGAGGTGGAGGGATGCTGGAAAACTGTCAAGGAACAGAGGTAGATCTGCTGTGTATACACACCTCTTACCTTGTTAATTATGTTGATTACTGAGTGTGCTCCTTTTGTGTTAATTAGGTTAATTATCTGAACGTGCTCCTCCTGAACTTTGTTAATAAAACATAATTTATTTAACGAGTAACACATTATTTAAACAGTCCACTTTAGACATTCTACTAACTATAAGTATCTTTGCAACTCTATGTCAACTAGCAGTCATTGCTAGACTGTCTGCCTCATATCTGCTCACACTTTATTTTGAGGGACATTCTACTGACTATTAAAGTCACTTTGCAAGTATATTACTTATTAACTTATTCTACTAAACCTAACAGTCTGATAATGCTCTAAAGAGAGCTAGTTGACAGAGTTGCAAAGTTATAGTTAGTAGAATGTCTAAAGTGTGCTATCGAAATAAAGTGTTAATATTTTTATGTAATTATATGTTGGTTTTGCAAGTATGACTACATAATAAACTTTCATAGAACTTTTCTGTAATGGAGTTTTATGAGTAAATGAAAAGAGATCAGTTTTCTCTATTTTGTGTGTTCCTGCAGGAGGGGCTGCGCATGCTGGTCTCAGCAGATCTAGACTGCACAAACACCATGCACATCCAGTTCTCATTCAAGTTCATAACGAAGGGTGAGTCTGGCGTGAAGCGTGCTTTATCTCAAGCTATCCTGCTTGTCTTCTGTGAGCTGATGGGAATGAACGCACTGGTTGTAAACACAGTATTTCTGTGTGTTTTACTCGCAGGTGTACCTGAGCGCTCTCACTCCGTGCTGCTGCAGTATTCAGTGAATGGAGGGATCAGCTGGCTGCTTATAGATGAGTTTTATTTCCCCACTTCCACAGACACGCTGTTTGTTCACATGTCTTTGCCTCCCAGCGCACAGACCAACGCTACGCGCTTCAGACTGTGGCAGCCGTACAGCAGTGGTAAGCAAACACAGTCATTCAAACTTACCCACATACACCTCACTCAACCACAAATACATCACCAGTATAACGAGACGAGTTTGTGTTGTTCCATTATTGGAAAGTGAGAACCATGACAGGATAATTGGCTTTATGAGAAGAATTTTAATGCATAAAGGCTGGCATACACTACACAACATTTGCCCAGATTTTTGCACCGATTTACAGACTGGATGCATAGTCAATGCTAGTAGCTGAGTCAAACCCAGTCTGCAGATTTGAGTTGACAGATTTAATAGAAAATTGCGTAGTGTATGATGGTCACAGACTCCGATTCTCTGATTCCATCCAGATGGAAATCAAACATGTTTTATATTTTGAGCTGATTTTGGAAGACATATTGTTTTAATGCGTTGCACGTATCCTTGCAATAAGGCACGTGAGTCTGGTATTTTATGATGCTCAGTTTCCTCTGTAACTGTTTACAAAGTCGTCATTGTTATAATTGTTACACTTGTCATTCTCCAAACCCTCAGGGAAGAAGGAAGAGGTGTGGGTGATTGATGACCTGATCATAGACGGCAACACCATCAATAGCTTGCCGGTTATATTAGACAGCTTTGAGGGAGGACCTCAGGAGGGGAACTGGCTGTTTTATCCTGGAGGAAACACTGGATTCTATTGCCCCTATCAGAGGGCAGGACTGTGAGTATCTGCATAGTGTCCACCTCACATCAGCACGCCATGTTCAAGCATATAAACCATAGTCAGCTCATGCCTCTGGATTTAAGCAGTATCAGCCCAGCTTCTGTCATCCAAACTCAACAGGATTCTGCATGTTCAGCCGCTGAGCCTCCAGCTCTTGATGTTGATGTTTTTAAAAATTTTTTTTTTTTTTAGTGGTGTCAAATGATTAATCGCGATTAATCGCGTCCAAAATAAAAGTTTTTGTTTACATAATATATGTATGTGTGCTGTGTATATTTATTATGTATATATAAATGCACACACATGCATGTATATATTTCAATATGTTATGTTTATATATTAAATAATAAAAAATATATATAAATTATATGAATATAAATATAGATGTGTAAACACATGTAAATATTTTCAAAATATATACATGCATGTGTGTGTATTTATATATACATAATAAATATACACAGAACACACACATATATTATGCAAACAAAAACTTTTATTTTGGATGCGATTTAGTTTTTTTTAACCGAACTTAAACATGTAATTTATTCTCCTGCGTATTTTATTTACTTAATCAGATTTATCAAACACAAGAATATAATAAAATTCAAGAAATAAAATTATAAAATGATATAAATGTATTTATTTATATATTAATTAGATAATTTGCATAAATGTAATACAATTATTCATTAATAAAATTTGCTATATCTTTTAAAAGAAAAATACCAAATACTAAACATATAATTTTTAATTAAAGTGATGAAAATGTATATAATTTCTTTAATTTAATTATGTAACGTATAATACACCCAATTTTTCATGATTATATATTCATATTAATTACAGTAATTATAATAATTCTATATTATATTATTGTGTATATTTTATTTTGTTATTAAAATGTAATAATTATAAATGTTCATCAGTGTAATTACTTATATTATAAGAGCCGCTTGTGTGTTTTTACGGTTCACTGCTGTGTGTTGGGTGTGTGATGGTGTTTCTGTGCTCTCAGCTCAGTGCGGTTCCGCTGGTATCAGGGGTTTTATTCAGGCGGCGCGGCTCCGCCCACATGGGCCCTGGACAGCGTGTACATCGGCCCTCAGTGCCAGAACATGTGTAACGGCCACGGTGTGTGTGTGCGCGGCACTCACTGCAGCTGCGATCCGGGTTACTCTGGTCCCGACTGCTCCGTTCCAGACATGCCAAACCTGGATTTCCTGAAGGAGGATTTCGAAGGTACAGAAGCAAACAGATGTTTACAGTATGTTGTTATCTGACATGATATTTCATAGTCATCATATTTCAAACATTAAAGTGGCTGCAAAAAGTGTTTGGACACACTTAAGTCACACTGAAAATGTCTGTTCTAGTAAAAAAGTAATCTATTTAAAATACATTTCATAGTAAGTATAGTTCAAATTTACTAATATATCTATTGACATATCGTTTGAGACTTACTGATATAAAAATTATAATTAAACTGTATTTGGAGTACTACTTGTGCATAATGCGCAAGCCTATAATGTGTTTGAATGTCACTATTGATGAGGATGAGGATGAGGATGAGGAAAATTATGTTCTGGTGCTCAGTGGTTTTGAACCTTAGGATGCTCTTGGCCCTCCAGCAGTCACCTGAACGTTGTGTCTTAAACAGAGAAAATTAATAACAGCTGACTCTTCCAAGATTTTTATCACAAGAAACTACTTTGACACAAGAAGCAACAAGACATTTAGTTGATGTTTTCTCTTTCTGCAGCGTTGGACTGCGTAGCCCTGCTCTCATGAAAGCTTGTTGGTGCAATACATATTACACACGGGATTGTGCAATATACTTTCTACTGCTTATTTATTTATCTGTTTTTGCCGCTATGTCGAGCTGATTGTTGTGTGTTACTCTTTATTCTGTGTTTTGCATTCTGCTTGTTGTGTGTTACTTTTACCATAAAGGAGTTGCACTGGCTTTCGTTGTACAGCTGTGCAGTGACATGAAAGGCATTCTGATTCTGCTCCTCATAACCGTACAGTAAACAGGAAGCATCTTCATGGTGATTGACTGGAGCAGATTCATTGGGATTTGTCTGTGTATAAAAATTGTCCATTTTATTATTGATTGTGTCACATAGGTGGGGTTTTGGAGTCTGAATACTTCAAGTTGATGAGTGGAGGAAAGCCTTCCAGAAAGTGTGGCATCACCACCAGCGGGAACCACCTGTTCTTCAGTGAGGACGGTTTGCGAATGCTGGAGACATTAGATCTGGACCTGTCTAATGCTAGGTATTCCACAAACACACCAGATGGTTCACTGTGAAAGATGCCCTTCACGCCATCAGTAATGTTGGAGATGTGTGTGTCCTGCTCAGGTTTATCCAGTTCTTCCTGAGGCTGGGCTGCGGTAAAGCGGCTCCTGACCCGCGCTCCCAGCCGGTGCTCCTGCAGTTCTCCGTGGATGGAGGTCTGAACTGGGCTCTCCTGCAGGAGTTCCTCTACAGCAACAGCAGTAACCAGGCTCACCTGGTGGCCCTGGAGATCCCTCTCCGAGCGCGAACCTCAGCCACACGCCTGCGCTGGTGGCAGCCGTCAGAGAACGGACACTTCCACAGCCCCTGGGTTATTGATAAAGTACGCCAAGACACACATGACATTACTGCAATACACTCATTAACACTGTATTAAATATTCGGTCATAAACATTTTAAAAACAGTGCCTTGCAAAGGCAATTCAAAACCATTAAGCAATTTTCCCCTTTTTTCTCCATTATTAAAGCTGTTATATAAGCTGATATTTTAACTCCACTGAAACTCAGAGCTCATTATTTGATTATACTTTATTCTGATAGTTTACTTTAGACATTCTACTAACTAGAAGTAACTTTGCAACTACATGTCAACTAACTCTCATTAGAGTATTAGTAGACTGTTAGGTTAGGGTTAGTAGAATAAATTGACATGTTCTTACAAAGTTACTTATAGGTAGCAGAATGTCTAAAGTGGACCATCAAAATGAAGTGTTAACAGTTATTTTTATTGTGAAACTGTTTTATATCACAAAATGATAATCTAGCAGTGATGACTGGGTACGGTAAGTACATACTAGCTTCATATATCATTCAGTTGCCATTTTGGTAGATTTTATCAGTAGATTTGATCCAGGTTGTTCAGGTTAGCCGCATGAATGCCACAGGCTTTGGACTGGGCCACACTGGGACATGTTTGAGTCCAGTCTTCATTTGTCCATTCATGTTTAGGATCAACGTCCCACTGAAAGTTTTAGTACTGTTTCTGCTGGAACAGATTATTTTGCAGTATCTTTTGCACGTCTCACTAACCCTGTTTACGTTTGGCATTAAGATGAGTTCTTAGAGGTCCAATCATAAGTTGTCAGTCAAGATGCTTTACATTTCGACTTGGTTTTAACATGCATTTCAAACATGCATTTTACCCGGTCAGTTACAGTTAAATCCAGTGAAATTCAGGCTGCATTCCTCAAAAGCATCATGAGCTAAGTTGATTGTAGAGACCACTGGTGTCAACAGTTCTACGACCTATTTTTGCAAGGCACTGTTTATACAGCCAGTGAACATGTACATTTTGGCTGTTGTGCTTGTTTTGGATCTGTATGTAGAGTGGATATGTGAACTCTGTTGCTCTGCTGTGATCTCTGTGATCGGTGTGTGTGTGTGTGTGCAGTTGGTTGTGGGCGGCAGTGCCAGCGGTTGGGGGCCGCTGGAGGACGACTTCTCCTCCACAAATGGACGATCTTGGCTGCTGCACCCCGGCGGCACGCGGATGCCAGTGTGCGGATCTGACGGTGAAGCTTTTGCCTTCATCGAGAAGTCAAACACGCGTTACGGCATCACCACCGACATCAGTCTGGGCCCAGATGCCTTCATCCAGTTTGATTTCTCTGCCTCCTGCTCCGTCACCTCCTCCTGCTACAGTACGTCTCCTGACATGAGCGTGCGCTTCTGTCTGTGTCATGAATAGAAGGGTTTTCCTCTGACCACTATTCATGTGTCCGCAGTGGTGGAGCTGGAGTACTCTTTGGATCTAGGTCTCACGTGGCTGCCGCTGGTCAAGGATTGTTTACCCACAAGTCCAGATTGTTCTTCATACACACTGCAGAGATTACTGGTGTCAGATACTTACAACAAGTGGGGCAGAGTTACATTACCCATACCACACTACGCCAGGTAAGCACCCACCCACACTATTTTCCGTTTATCACTGTAAAGCTGCTTTGACAAAATCTGTATGACGTGAAACTTGACTTGACACCAGCTTGTAAATCAAGTAAGGAATAATTGACGACAAGGCATTAAATTATTGAAAAATAATGCAGAGGAGGTAATGCTGTTACACCTCAGGTGTGCATTATTTTTCAATAATTCAAAGGACTGGAGTCAATTATTCCACTTATACCACTGTTACAACCCCTAAAGTCATTGTTCAGATAGTACTAATTTCTTACGCCTCTCGTCACAAGCCTCCGTTTCTAAATTCAAAGCATCATTTTAGAGTTAATATCATCTCTCTATGGTGTTTGGCAGCAGCGTCTCTACTAATAGCGAAACTGTAAGTTTATCTGCTTCAAGAACAGCAACGTTACCACCTCCATACTGTGTAATGTCATTTATTTTTTCAGTTGCAAACAATACTACTGAAAAAATTCATTTGCAGGGTAGGGCTGGCAACAAGGTGCATGTGCTTGCAGAGAGCGAGAGCAGGATAAAGAAAGTGTGCTTTGCATGGATAATAAAAGGTCATTTACTTGGGAAAACATGGAAATTGTCATTTTTAACCCTTTTTGGTCATATTTGTTTGCTGTGTTCAGTGTCTTTGGTTCTTTTTGGTTGTTTTGCTATTGTAGGCTGTGAATAACCTTTGAAATAACTGAAATTATATGGCGAAGTGATTTGGAAGTGCAATGCGGTCAACAGACCGGGAACTACTTCATAGCTGCGCGTTTCCTGGAAAATAATTGCACACATTAGAATATCCATCAACCAATCAGAATCAAGCATTCAACAGCCCGTGGTATAATGACTTCTAAGAATTGAAAGGTTTTTCGTTGTCTTTTGTGGCAAACGCACAGGTCCACAGCCACGCGCTTCCGCTGGTTCCAGCCGGCGCCATTTGATAAGCAGCAGACGTGGGCTCTGGATAACCTGTACATCGGTGACGGCTGTCCTGAGATGTGCTCCGGCCACGGCCGCTGCAGACAGAGCTCCTGTGTGTAAGTCACTCTCACCTTCACCAAGTAATGCCTGCTGTAAGTCTTTCCTGCTCCTCACGGCTCTTGTCTTTCAGATGTGACCCTGAGTGGGGCGGTGAGTTCTGCGATGAGCCGCTGGTCTCTCTGCCCGCTCAGCTGAAGGACAGTTTCAGTCGAGCTCCGGCGCTCAATCACTGGCACCTGCTGACCGGCGGCAAGATCAGCAGCGTCTGTGGAGCTGTGGCCTCAGGATCAGCGCTGCACTTCAGCGGGGTAAAACCGTCTGTCCTTCAGTCTCTGTTTCAGTCTGAGGAGTTCTTGAGATGCTCACATTCACAGTGATTCACAGTCTTTAAATTACACTATTGCAGCATGAAATCACAATATCATGAAGTCAAAATAAACCAAATTCATAAGTATTCCAACTCCCAGAGTTAATACTGAGGATGACCTTTGGCAAAGAGCTTATTTTCCTGAAGATTGTGTCCCAGGAGTCTTAGGATTGCAGCTTGTTTTCCTCGAAGGCTTTTTTATAGTTGGCCCATCTATTTTTCATTCTCTCTTTATGAGTTTCCCATCCCTGCTGCCTTTCACCATAGGGATGCTGTTCTCACCACGATGTGAGCTTAAGAATGAGGCACAAAAGCTCAATTTTAGCTGTTAGCTGTCTCTCAACTGCCTCTAAGCAAACTCCATCTCAGATATCACGAGTTTATTCAGCAAAACCTTTCCATGGAAATCATTTGTTGAAGCAAAATCTGTCTCTGTCTAGCTTTCTGTCCACCTACCTGTCTGTTGTAGTAATGTTTCAGGATACATGACAGTATTGCTACAGTGCTGTTTGTGTAAACAAGGGTAGTTTTGAATGAATCAGAGTATCACGTGTCATTGTTTGTCTAATGGCCAGAGCTGCTCTCGTCAGCTGGTGACGGTGGATTTGAATCTGACCAGTGCTGAATTCATCCAGTTCTACTTCATGTACGGCTGTATGATCGCACCCAGCAACCGTAATCAGGGCGTTCTGCTGGAGTTCAGTGTGAACGCGGGGATCAGCTGGAATCTACTGACCGAGATCTTCTACGACCAGTACAGCAAGCCTGAGTGAGTCTCTCTGCTAGCACTGTGATCTTCTTGATTTGAACCACTCCAATAACCATTCTTACAATTCCCAGATCGACCTTGTGCTCCATGCACTTTATCCAGCTCTGCATGCGTACAGCGCATCTCTTTGCAGATGCCGAGTAACTGGACCCTGTTGAAAAAAACAGCATATGCTGGTTAGGTATGTTTTGAGCAGAAGCTAGTTGCTTAGGACCAGCACATGACCAGCTTAAACCAGCTCAAACAAGCTGCCATGCTTCAAAACATACCTAACCGGCATATGCTGGGGAATCCTCTCACTCAATTAAACATGCAACATAATAATGTCATGAGACAACAGTGCAGCGTAGGACTGCTTGAAATATTTATCCTTACATGCACTGTTCCTTACACTGTTTCTCACACTGTTTTTCAAAATAGTGTATAATGCACAGTAATCAGCATTCTGCTGTTTTATTCTGAGCACAGAGTAGCAGGAGGGAAGGGCAGAACTTTTCTAGTGTTTTCCGTGTTAGAACAGTCAAGTTGGAAACTTTTTTAATGTAATGAATTAAAGGTCCTCTGGTTGAAGTGTTCAGAGCATTCACACTGTAACTATGAACGTTTTCTCCTGTAGGTTTGTGAATGTTCTGCTGCCCGCTGCTGCGCGAGCCGTGGGTGTCCGGATCCGCTGGTGGCAGCCGCAGCATGACGGGGCCGATCGGAGCGACTGGGCTCTGGATAATGTGCTGATCTCCGGCTCAGATGCTCACGCTCAGATCTCAGACACGTTTGGAGGAGCGGCGCTGCCCAGCCATGAGAGAGCGCCGGCTGACGGCACACACACACGACACAGCAGCTCATCCATCATCCATGAGGAGACCATCGGTACGAGATCACGTCTACAGATACACACACACACTACAGCAGCTCAGTCTCCTTCCACGAGGAGACCATCAGTACGAGAGATTTATAAACACACACACCTTATGAGGGATCAACAAAAGTTTCCCCTTTTACAGTGCCCTCCACTAATATTGGCACCCTTGGTAAATATGAGCGAAGGCGGCTGTGAAAATGAATCTACATTGTTTATCCTTTTGATCTTTCATTCAAAAAATGCACAAAATTCTAACCTATCATTGAAGTAAAACAATTGAAAGTGGGGGGAAAACCTCATGATGAAATAAACGTTTTTCTTCAGTGCATGTTATCCACAATTATTGACACCCCTAGAAATTCCAATGAGTAAAATATCTCTGAAGTATATTCACATTCATATTTACATTCTTGAGCACACCAGGGTGACTAGAGCATGAAATTGTCCAGCCATAACTTCCTGTTCCACAGGATTATAATAATGAGGAACACAAAGAAGGTTTATGAGTAAAACCAAAGGATATAGTTCTGATATGCAGAACAAGATTGTTGAGCTTCACAAAATAGAAAGTGTCTGTAAGAAAAGAGCTAAAGCATTGAAAATCCCCATTTCCACCAGGGATCCATCATCACAAGGAGTAAAACCAAAGAATATTGTTCTGATGTGCAGAACAAGATTGAGCTTCACAGAAAAGAAAGAGCTAAAGCATTGAAAAAATCCCCATTTCCACCATCAGGGCAATAATTAAGAGGTTCCAATCAACTAAAGATGTTACGAATCTGACTGGAAGAGGACGTGTGTCTATATCGTCCTAATGCACTGAGGAGGAGAGTTTGAGCGGCCAAAGACTCTCCGAGGATCACAGCTGGAGAACTGCAGAGATTAGTTGAGTCTTAGGGTCAGAAAGCCTAAATATATATCAAAGAGCCTCTACATCAGCACATGTTGTTCAGGAGGGTCTTCTCATCCAAAAACAAACTCCATCATATTCAGTTATCAGACACGACTGGAAACTAAAAAAGAGGTTTTTGGCAGCAAACCCACCAGATGTGTTTAGTAGAAACAGGGATAAAAAGTAGCCCATGCCCACGGTTAAATACACTGCTGGATCTTTAATGTTGTGTGTCTGTTTTTCTGCCGGAGGTCCTGGACGTCTTGTTCAGATGCATGGCATCATGGATTCTATCAAATACCAACAGATAAAAATCTAAACCTGACTGCCTCTGTTAGAAATCTTATAATGGGCCGTGGTTGGATCTTCCATCAGGACAATAATCGAAAACAAACATCAAAATCAACACAAAAATGTGTCACCGAGCACAAAATGAAGCTTTGCCATGGCTGTCTCTGACCTGAACCCTGTAGAGAATGAGTGGAGTGAACTGAAGAGAAGAAGCTGTGAATCTGGAGGATCTGGATGAAGGAATGGTCTCTGATCTCTTGTCAGGTGTTCTCCAAACTCTTCAGGCATTATAAGAGAAAACTCAGAGCTGTTATCTTGGGAAAAGGACGCTGCAATAATTGTGGCCAACATGAACTAGAGAAAGCATTTAATTCACAACGAAATTTTCCCCCCACTTTCAATTGTTTTACTTCAATGATAGGTTAGAATTTTGTGAATTGTTTGAATGAAAGACCAAAAGGATAAACAAATGCAGATTTATTTTCACAGCCGCCTTTGCTCATATTTACCAAGCGTGCCAATATTAGTGGAGGGCACTGTATACAGATGGTAATGAAACTGAAATACTAACACTGTTGGTTTTCAGCTACATATAATGTTTTTGATACTATTTAATTTTTTTAATTTAGATTATAATTCAATGTAATTTGAGAGATTAATTCGCTGAATGAATTTAGTGCCAAAGCAATGGAAATAGTCAGTTTAGCCACATACAGTCAATCCAAAATGTATCCAGGCACCTTCAACATTTCTCATTTCATCTAAAGTTACAGTGCATGTTTGATTTTTTGGATTTGTATTTTTTGGATCAAGCCATCAAACTATTGTGTTGTATTAAATATCTATGTGGATGTTTGTCTTTCTGAATTAGTTTTACATGTGCAGTGCAAACCTCCGTCAGTCAAAGGCAGAGGATCACTGTAACCGGAACTCATCCTTACTCTCACTTCTTTTCTATATTCATCTGAATTTCTTTAATTTCAGTGAGCGATCACTGGCTGTTTTCTGAAGATTGCTCCGTGAAGCGTTTCTGCAGCTCTCCAGACGGTGTCATGGTGTGTGGCAACACGGATGGACAGGAAGTTTATGCTGTTACACATGACATAGTTCCTGCCAAAGGCTGGGTCATGCAGTTCAAGGTAAACTCTCACTGATGCACGCATGCTGTCAGCAATCACTCGTTTGTTTAGGTATCGTTTCTACGACGGGTTGTAGTCATAACTGTGAGTATTACATGCAGATGGATAAGTATGTGTGTTGTTTGTCAGATTGCGGTTGGCTGCAGTGTGCCGGAGAAGCCTGCAGAGAGACAGATTCATGTTCAGTACTCCGTGAACTTCGGTGTGACCTGGAAGTACCTGGTTCCTCAGTGTTTACCTGCAGATCCTCGCTGTGCCGGACTGGTGTCGCAGCCGTCTGTGTTCTTCCCGGCCGACGGCTGGAAGCGAGCGGTTTATCCTCTACCAGACGGTCTCGCAGACACGTGAGAGATCGCAGACACTGCTTTGTACATGTAGCTGAAATCAGTTGCTGAGTTCTTCCAATGCTAGAGTCATTTCTCAAGGAGAATAAAACAGTTTTATCTCATATTCATCATGTCAGCAGAGGTTCGCAAACAGCAAAAACACACCATGATTCAGTTTACCATGGACAGTTTCATGCAGTAGAAGTCAAGTCATCAGTTGTCCTTGTACTAGTTAAATCAACAAACTCAACCTCATTTGTGTCCCTGCAGCACAAAAGCAGTCATAAGCAGCACAAGTATATTTGTAGCAATAGCCAACAATACATTGTATGGGTCAAAATTATCCATTTTTCTTTTATGCCAAAAATCATTAGGATATTAAGTAAAGATCATGTTCCATGAAGATATTTTGTAAATTTTCTACCGTAAATATATCAAAACTTTTTTTGATATATTTTCTCAATATTTAGATTTTTTTGCACCCTCAGATTCCAGGTTTTCAAATAGTTGTATCTCGGCCAAATATTGTCCTATCATAACAAACCATACATCAATGGAAAGTTTATTTATTCAGCTTTGATGATGCATAAATCTCAATTTCCAAAACTTGACCCTTATGACTGATTTTGTGCTCCAGGGTCACATTTAAGACACAAAGTAAAGTGCATCTACTCTCCATTTTATTTACTTTGAAAAGTGATTTTTGCAGGCACACATGTAGGGAAGAGAGTTCTCTATAATCTTCAGGTGAGTGATGGATGTTCTGGTGTCGTTCACAGAGCGGTGCGCTTCCGCTTCTATCAGAGGCATTCAGATACGCAGTGGGCGGTGGAGAACTTCTACATCGGACCTGCTTGTGAAAACCACTGCGGAGGTCACGGAGACTGTCTGGACCAGCACTGTCTGTGTGACCCGGGCTTCACTGGGCCCAGCTGCTACGCCAGCACCACGCTGAAGGTAAACCAGAACCCAGTGCGACACAGCAGACATGTAGTGCTGTTAAAAGTTCCGACCGCCACACCAGTTTTAAAAACGTCCATTTCCCGCTAAGATTTGAGCGCCGTTGAGCCGATTCTTAAACACTGCTGATTGGTCGTAGTGTTCACGCGCTCAACAGATACGTCTGTGATTGGCTTCAGTAATCATCTCTTCACCGAGCGGAGCGCTCACACAGAAACACCCGGGAGCGTCTATCAGCGGATCTCTAATATATCTGCACATAGACGTTCTGCTGATAGACGCGGCTTTCAAACTAGGGTTGCCACCTTCAGTGAGGCAAAATAAGGGACACCCATTCACGAACTATGTCTACTATGTCTTGGTTATGTCTACCAAGCAATAATCAGTGAGGAACTCATAGCTCAACAATAAACCATGAGAGAACATGCTCAAGTATGTAAACTTGCAACAGAATACATTAATTTTGTTATTTTAAATTTAGATTATTTAAAATTATTAATTATTATTAGTCTTTTTTAAATTAATAATAATTTATGCATTTAGCAGACACTTTTATCCAAAATGACTTACAGTGCATTCAGGCTATACATTTTTTACAAGTATGTGTGTTCCCTGGGAATTGAACCCACGACCTTTTGCGCTGCTAACACCATTTTACCTCTAAATACGGGATGATTCTGTATTTTAAGGGACGGGTGGCAACCCTTTTTCAAACACTCCCGTGTGTTTCTGTGTGAGCGCTCCACTCGGTGAAGAGCGTGAAGAGATGGTCATTGACTATGTTTACATGGACATCAGTAATCTAATTATTTACCATATTCTAAATAAGAAAATATTATGATTAATGCATTTACATGAGTTGCTTTTACAATATTCTTTTCATGTTCCTGTTTTACATGTTATAGTACATCGATTAATGGCACTCGTCGTTACATCCCCATGCAACGCCATCCGACGCCCCCTCCAGAATTTCACGTATAAACATATAGTTTGTCTTCGTTATGATGCCATATGCAGTTTTGGGTTTTGCATTTTTAATTTTAGGGTTAGGTGCAATAAGTAAATAAGTGCAAATAAATGCAACAAATAAATAAGTGCAGTTAATTATTTGTCATGCTATAAGTCCAAACAGACGACGGCGTTGTTAATGCCATGCTCTTTTGTTTGCCATCAAACATTTTACCACAGCAGTGAAAAGTCCTACACGACGGTAATAGTGTGATTAAGGTGTGTACATGTCTATACCAAGCGGTAACCTCCCGATCTCTCTCGTGAAACCAACACGGAAGTGACTAAAACTGTAATTCATCGACTGGCCGCTAGAGGCTGGCTGCAAAAGGGAGTCAGTCCCATAGACTCCCCATGTTAAAATGCCCAACTTTACAGCAGAAAAAAACATGTTTACAGCCTGGTACAAAAAGTGGTTTTGGTCTATATAGCTAATTTTGCCCTTCATGACAACTGTGAGGGGGGTGAATTTTTTTATAACTCATCCATTTAAATTATATTAAGCCTTAAAGTTCTGCATAATTAAGGGTGTGGCCACTTGAGTGACAGGTGGATTGCCGCTGCTGTCACCGGCGTCGAGCTAGGTGGGCGTGGTTTCAGCAAACAGCTCCCGCCTTTTTGGCCATTTTCGATTATCCGGGAGTGACGCGTGGTGACGCGCTGCCAAGATGGCGACAGCCGGCTCCGCCCACTTTGAGCTTCAAAAACGCTCTTCAGAAACCTACGGGTGACGTCACGAACACTACGTCCATGTTTTTATACAGTCTATGGTGTATACTGCACTTCGATAATGTGACTAAAATAGGAATGATCCACATGTCTTAATTCGATTTGTGTTTTCCTCGTGTATGATTTTAGCTGGATTAAGGTAATCAAAAATCTCTTGATTACATGATAGATTCTTAATCAGAGTATTGTCTTAATCGTGTTTAAATCGGATTATTGTTTTCCATGTAAACATACTCATTGTAGCCAATCACAGATGTATCTGTTGAGCGCGTGAACACAATGACCATTCAGCGCTGTTTAAGAATCGGCTCAACAGCTCTCAAATCTTAGCGGGAAATGGACGTTTTTAAAACTTCAGTACCGAATGGTATCAGGGTCGGTACTTTTGACAACACTACAGACATGTGAACGCGAGCTCCGCAAACATCAGGCTTTCCTTGTGTCCCCAGCAGGCGTCGCTGAAGGAGCGCTTTGGTTAAAAAATACACTTATGCGTATACAATAAAATTGCGTGTGAGAAAAAAAGCAGGCCTAAGTCGCGTATAAGTCTCATTTTATTTTTTCATTCAGAAATAGGCCTAATGCCGACACGAAATGTTTACAAATTCCACGACAAATCCTTTCAATTTAACAGTATTCTGAAAATAACAAGAATTAAAAACATAAGAAGGACCAGCCAAAACGAATTAATTTAGGCTAAAACGAAACCGAAACCAACGTTGGGTCTTTCATTCCACACAAATCCAAATGTTTCTGTATTTGTGATGAATTTGAATGCCAAAATATTATTTAGGCTATTATGTAAACCTGGTTGTGTACTTCACTTGCGTTCCAATATCCACATAAAACAAAATGTGTTTGGCATAACATCACGGCGGTATGGTGATAACGCTTAACGGCACAGATTTTACTACATATATAAACTGAGCAGTGTGTTTTTTCCATATGTTTGACTGACTGTATTTTATTATAATAATGAAAAGGCTGCATTGTCAAGTTAGCGATGCTTAACTGTGTGCGCGAGTGCGTGCATTGTTTTCCTTCTAACAATGGAAACAACTAGGCCTACTCCTAGTCATACAGATAATCGAAACTGTAAAAGGTTTGCTTTTATTTGTGTACATTCACAATAAAAACAAATCTTTGTGCTTTTGTAAAATAAAGAAAAATTGGATGCCGCTTTCTGCGGTCTTTCGCGCACCACAAAAATGAACCGAAACATACTAGACTACTTATTGCAAAGTTTTTTCTTTTGTTTTGTTAATTTATTATTTAAGTAAAAATATATTTCTCGTATAGGCCTATTTATTCGTTATATATACAGTATATAGCCTAGCTTATGTCTTTCTCCGCTGCCCAAATCTGTGTGTACCCTCATATTAATAACATTTGCCTGTGCTGCCCTTCAGGTTTGTGGAGTACTGGGCTAAAATCGGCAGCGAGGAGAACGTTACTCTGTGCCATCGTCCAACCTGTCGGAAAGAGGGTGTGTTATTGGATTATTCTATTGATGGAGGTATGTTTCTTCATTAATAACACAAAATGCAAAATCATTCTCATCTTTCCTTTCATGAAGACACGAGTCACATAAATTGATTGAGTTGTTCTCTCTGTAAGGTGTGTCTTGGACATTGCTCCATGAGATGGACTATCTGAAGTACGTGTCTGTGAGGAGAGATTACATCGTGCTGCCGGAGAGAGCACTGACCAACGCCACTCGTCTGCGATGGTGGCAGCCGTTCTCGCTGCTGTCGGGCCTGGTCCGGTCGAGTGCGGAGCGCGCTCAGTGGGCTTTAGACAACATCCTCGTGGGAGGCTCTGACATCAACCCCAGCACCCTCCTGGACACCTTTGATGACGGTGAGTCACGGGTTACTCACAGTGGCATTGAGATATCCTGAAGTCTGGAGCAGTGAAATATGAAATAAAAAAATTATTGAGCTAGTAGGGATGTAACGATATTATCAATATCACGATAGCAAAACTGTCTCAATAGTATCATGGTCACATGACGATATGAAACGATAGGTCTTCCGGGCAAAATAAAAGTTTTTAAAATATATTTGTTTTGGGCCATTATGCTTTGGCACACTATCTGTCATACGCACTAAAACCGAAAGCACAATATGGCTTAATCGCTTCATCAAATCTGTTTTCGCTGCGTGTTTGAAAGCAAAGCGCACACTTCGTTCAGGCGATCAGCTCGTGATCCGGTGTTTTCCGCGTCTCAGAATGACTCGTTCACACTGAATGAATGCAGTCAACTCGTTTATTGCATGTGCTGTGAGTTTAGGAACACATAAGCCAGCAGTTAGGCTTTATTTTCATGGCAGGTGATTACGCCATTTCACTAGATTTGTAGTGAGACGCGTTTTTGTTTTTGTAAGCCTGTTTTGACTGAAGCTGGAGGTTTCCTTCAAAATAAAAGCTTAAAAGTGCAGCATTAATTGCTGACAGCTAGCAGTTTAAATGCAGTCCAAATTCAAAATATCTATTTCAAGTGTAGAAATTAGGAAAGAAGTATTGTAATTTCCCTAGTGTAGTGTAAAGCAAACATAATATACCTATGAAATATTCATTTTCATTTATTTTACAGTGCAATTGTTTTATGGCTTCTGCTGTCATTGTTGTTGTTATTATTATAATTCTGTTCTAATTTGTTTGGCTTCCTAAAACACCAGTGTGAATGTAATTTAGACTGAGACAGTAGATCACAAATAAATAAAGGGTTGAGTCCTCTTTAAAGTTCAGCTACAAGTCAATTCACTGACTTTTTTCTGACTGAAGTTTTAAGAACATGGGTTGGAGCTTTTAATTTTGAATTCTCAAAGTGCATTAGGCAGAATAATTTAATTTTAAAATGTACAAAATTTTAATTTTTTCCCAATTCTTCATTTGTCTTTTTTTTTCTTTTTTAAATATCGCAATAAATATCGCATCGTGGACTTCATATCGCAATAATATTGTATCGTGAGATTTTGATATCGTTACATCCCTATGAGCTACTGTCCATATTATAGAGCTGCACTAATGTTCTCCTTCCTCCAGAGGGCGTCTCTCATGAAGAGAGTTGGAGCTTCTATCCCAATGCTGTCCGTACGGCCGGCTTCTGCGGAAACCCGTCGTTCCACTTGTATTGGCCCAACAAGAACCAAGACGGGTCGCACAATATCCTGGCGACCCGAGAACTCATTGTTCAGCCTGGATACATCTTACAGTTCAAGGTTTGAGCACAAGATGTTTGAGATCAGGGGCAGCGCTAAGGGGGCTGAAGCCCCGAATGTTTTATTACCAAGCACTGTACGCATCATCACTAAATTTTCATGCGCATTAAAATCATTTCTATTAGAACCGCAGATGTTCTCTACATTCCATTCTCTCGTTCACTCCCGTCAAGAAGTGCTTGAGGCTCGAACTTCTGACCAACTGGCCAACCACTGATAAAAGGTTACAGCAGCTGCTTCAGGTATCTGTAACTGAGTGTAGGCTATAACTTATCGCTATAATACCGATCTCGCCATTTGTCAAATTAGGTTATTTGTTACTGAGCACTGTCACTGTGAAGCAACAAATATAGATATTTAATCATAGAATTATATGCAGTCTTCCATGGACACACACGGGTTTAGAGCGATTATATGAACGGTTTGTTCGGCATGCATGGTTAGTGGCAGACTTTTCTTCGTGTCAAGGCAACAGATATTAAGTGGCTTAAATTGTAGAGACAATATTGCCTTTTTTGCTCTGTTTCGGTAATGAAAATGGTTGCAAACAAAGCCATGTTGTGCGTCTCTGCAGCAACACTGATTCATTCATAAAAACGGTTTCTTACCCTGCGTCCCAATGTTCATATCCATCCTAAATAGCATGTGAGATAAGAATAAGTGTTACTTCGTTCCTGAATGAATTAGCTGTTTTGAAAGAATCGATTGAATAAATGACTCAGCGACTCACTTATTAAGACAGTGGCTTGCTGCCACCTATTGGCAATTTTAGTTTCACATTTATAAGTATCATTCTATTTTTTTCTCTCATTCCATATTTCTATATTCCACTTTCTATATTTAAAACATTAATCTCAACATTATTTATGCAATTTTTATGTGCAGTGTAAATGCATGTACAAGTGCCATAAATAAGTGTATGGAGCCCTGCATGTTTAATTATACTTACGTTTATAAGTTTATACCGTGTATTCAGACACATATGGATGTCTCTGGGCTAAGCCCCAGATATCTACTCACCCTATTACCGCCCTGTTTGAGAACATTCAATTTTCACACAGAAACACACAGATATACAGTGACTCTGGTCTTTGTCCACTTTAGATTGTGGTTGGCTGTGAGGCAGACCGATGTGATGACCGTCATTCAGTGCTTGTACAGTACAGGAAGGATGCCAGGTGAGTACAGGCGACAGATGTGCATGTGTAGCCCCCTTCACGCCTTCATTTTTGCAAGATTATCTGTATGTACTGTAACTTTTATCTATTGCATGGGTGTCCAATCCTGGTCCTGCAGGGTTTAGCTTCAACTTGTCCCAACACAACTACCTGGGAGATTCTAGTAATCCTGGAGAACTTGGTTCAGGTGTGTTTGATTGAGGTTAGAGCTGAGCTCTGCAGGACAGTGGGCCTAAAGGCACAGGATTGGACACCCTGATCTATTGTCAAAGCCCAGTGTTAATGGCAGTTATCTTTTGAGAGAGAGGAAGGGGAGTAGGAAAAGAAAGGAAGAGGTCATATGTTGTCTAGTAATGAAGTTCCTTTCCTCCACAGGTCAGACGTGTGGCAGTTAGTCCAGTCCGCCTGTCTCCCTTCTTCTGCCAACAACGTGGGCTGCTCACCCTTCCAGTTCCACGAGTCCACAATCTACAGTCCTGTCAACAGTTCAGTGTGGACCAGAGCCACCATTCAGCTGCCTGACCATGTGTCGTCTGGGTATGGCTTATAGGGTCCCTAAATGATCCCTTAAATGGTCTTTTTGAGAGATTGCATTATAGGGATGTAACAATATCAAAATCTCACGATACGATAATATCACAATATGAAGTCCACAATACAATATTTATTGCAATATTTAAAAAAAACAGACAAATGAAAAAAAAATTTGTACATTTTTTTGTACATTTTAAAGTTAAATCCTTAAAAAAGTTAAAGTTAAAATTCAGTGTTTTTGTACATTTTAAAGTTAAATCCTTCCATCTAATGCACTTAATGCAGAGTTCAAAATAAGAGCTCCAACCCATGTTCTTAACTAAGAAAACTTAAGTCAGAAAAAAGTCAGTGAATTGACTTGTAGCTGAACTTTAAAGAGGACTCAACCCTCTTTTTAGTTGAGGTATACTGTCTCAGTCAAAATTACATTCACACTCTTTTTTTTTTTAGGAAGCCAAACAAATTAGAATATATTAATATTAACAATTTTATATTATTGTTATTCCTATGACAGTAATAGCCATATATTGTAAAACAATAGCACTGTAAAATAAATGAAAATGAATATTTCATAGGTTTATTATCTTTGCTTTACACTACACTAGGGAAATTACAATACTTCTTTCCTAATTTCTACACTTGAAATAGATATTTTGAATCTGGACTGCATTTAAACGCAAGCTGTCAGCAATTCATACTGCACTTTAAACTTTTATTTTGAAGGAAACGGCAGCAGAGCTTTTATCTTAAAGGAAAACTCCAGCTTCAGTGAAAACAGGCTTACAAAAACACGTCTCACTACAAATCTAGTGAAACGCTGTAATCATTTGCCGTGAAAATAAAGCCTAACTGGTGGCTGTTGTGTTCCCAAACGCGCGCTAAACTCACAGCACATGAAATAAACGAGTTGACTGCATTCATTCAGTGTGAACAGACCATTCTGAGACGCAGAAAACACCGGATCACGAGCTGATCGTCTGAGCGAAGTGTGCACTTCGCTTTGAAACACGCAGCGAAAACAGACTTGATGAAGCGATTAAGCCATATTGTGCTTTCTGTTTTAGGTCGTTTGACAGATACAGTGCCAAAGCATAATGGCCCAAAACACAACTTTAAAGACCTTTTATGTTAGAATAAGAAGTTAAAATATATAAAAAAAACTACACTTTTTGCCCGGAAGACCTATCGTTTCATATCGTCATGTTACCACGATAATATCGAGACAGTTTTGCTATCGCGATGCCACGATATTGATAATATAGTTACATCCCTATTGCATTATCATTAGGATGTGTGGAGGTAGTTAGTTCAGGGTTCCTACGCGGTTTGGGAAAGTATGAATTTTGATATAAATAATTTCCAGGTCTGGAAAAGTATTAAAAAAGAAAGCAGAGTATGAAAAAATATTTGCATTTCCAGACTTATGCCCCTATTACATTATTTTTTTTTATCATAGAAAATTAAGAATTTCATGAAAATAAGTTTTCATGGCAGCTGTTCAGTGATTCTTTAGTGATTGTCAAACACGACTGAATGAATTCAAGGTGCACTTTTTATTATGCAAAATGTTTTCATTTTGGGTTTCTTCTCACGATATTCTTTGCACCGTATGACATAGCCTCAAGGACCTTTGCAAAAATAAAAAATATACAGACTTTTATGTGTGCACGAGAAACAATTAAACTTGGCATATTGGACAGCGGTCACCAAACTGGGTCCAGGAGGACCGAGTTTGGACACCCCTTATATAGGACAATGCACACTGAGCCACCTGTTGTGCCATCAGCCCATTTAGCGGTGTGGTGTCTTGACCGCCACAGAGTATGCATTAAAGAGACCTAAGGCCTTGAAATATGATATACTGCCCTAACGAAAGCACATTTTGAACACTTTTTTTGCAATACTAGTCTTTTTTTATAAACCCTTGAACTTGGCAAACAGGACAATGCACACAGCCATATTATGCAATCAGCCCATTTCGTGTCATGGTTTCTCCGCCGCTGCAGAGGATGTGTTAAACTGGACATTAGGCCTTGATATTAGAGGTACTACCATAAGGAAAGCCAGATTTTGAGCAAGTAGATCTCTATTAATTCATATGCATCCATGCTCTCGCTTTATTCATAGTAAGATGGCAGTGATGCACAAAGGAAATATAAAAGTAGAAATTGTAATGTGTAAGCATGCAAAAAATTCCCATGCGCAGGTGAATAGTTTCTTGAGGGCACAAAAAAGTTTGAGAAAGTCTGTATTTTTTTAATGATTATTTTTTATTGTTGTCACTTTGAGAAAATCAATGAAAAAACCCTGAAGAAATAAGAATATTAACAGATGACTGTACTATATACTACATATAAAGCTGAAAATAGTGCTGCATGAACTATTTATGTTAAATATGGTCCGAAAATCTACTGAGAGTTTGGAAATTTGAGTCTGGAAAAGTATGGAATTTTGAAATGGAAAATGTGTAGGAACCCTGTTAGTTGTTAAAAGGACTTATCCTTAAGCTGGTCTCAGGTATTCAGGCATTAATGCACATGTCTATAAATATCTGACTCTCCTTGATGTCTTCAGTGCGACACAGTTTCGCTGGATCCAGCACGAGGCCCCTGGCGAGCGCTACAGCTGGGCCATGGATCACGTGTACATCGGGGAAGCGTGTCCTGGACTGTGCAGCGGTCACGGCTACTGTACCAGCGGACCCGTCTGCATCTGTGACGAAGGCCATCAGGGTGGGCATCAGTTCTCTATAACTCTGTGATTCCGTGAAGTTTACAACAGAACAAACAGGAACAGGTTTTGTCTTTCTCAGGTGATGACTGCTCTTTGTCCAGCAGTGAACTGCCCAGCTCTATAAAGGATAACTTTGAGTCTGGTTCGGTGTCTCAGGAGAGCTGGAGTTTGATTCAGGGCGGCGGCATGGGCAGCGGATGTGGTCAGCTCTCTCCTCACGCTCACGGGGACTCGCTGTACTTCAACGGCTGCAAGATCAGACAAGCCATCACTAGACCTCTGGATCTGACCCGTGCTAGGTACAGCAAGAAATAGTCAAGTCATCCTTTTGTTTTCTTGCTCATTTCAGTCATATGGCGCTTTTCCACTGCATGGTACGGCACGGTACGGCTCGGGACGGGTCCCCTTTTATCCAGCGAGAGCTTGATGGGGCGACTCGGAATGAAAACGTTTTTTTTAGGAGACGTGGTAGTAGAGGCGGCGCAACTATAACGACATGTGAATAATCCCGCCCACTCTAAAGCGGTACTGAACTGCAGTGGAAACGCAAACCGTGCCGAGCCGAGCCGTGCCGTACTGAGCCGTGCCGAGCCGAGTCGTACCCCGCAGTGGAAAAGCGCCAATAGATACAATCAGTCACCACCCTCTCACCATCTCTCTCCTCCAGTAAGATCATGTTCGTGCTGCAGATAGGCAGCGTGTCGCAAACAGACAGCTGTAACGCTGCACTGGATCAGGCGGATATGGTCGACCGGGCCGTGCTTCTCCAGTACAGCGTCAATAACGGAGTTAGTTGGAACGTCATTGCTCAACACCAGCCAAAAGATTTCATCAAAGCCCAGAGAGTGTCCTACAACATCCCACTGTGAGTCTGCAAACATGCATTACACGAATTCCATTATGTTACAAATAATGCTGAATTGTGTTGTTCCCGTAGCTCCAACAGTAGAGTACGGTGCTAACAACGTCAAGATCATGGGTTCAGTTCCCATGGGGTGCATTAACTGGTAAAATGCATACCTCGAATGCGTAGTCCTTGTAGTCTGGAACATGCAGATGAATGTAGCTTTGAGGTGACGACGGTTCTGAAGTCCTGAAAATCTTAAACACGCAGATGGAGGAGCCTTGAAGGCAATGTTGCCGTGCAAGATGTTGTTACTGTCTCTGAACTTGTATCTCCAAACTCCCTGAACTCAGAACACCTCCCAAACTTACAGTAATTCACTTCTGCTCTGAGAGAACTCTTTTTCTGAACACTTTTTACACCTTCCTCAAAAGAAGGGGATTGCTTTCTGATCCAGTGATATTACTTGCATTTGAAGTTCACAGTTAAAACAGTGTCTTCATGATTTTACCTGTGCATTAATCACTTTCCAAAAGACTTCCAAAGTAATCTAGGCAATGTGCTGAACGCATAGATTTCAAACATTATTCACTTATGCATTCATGTACCTTAATACCATAGGTTCTTGATAGAATGTATAAACATTGTTGTGTCACTAACAGTCCTCATTAAGCGTATACTGTTCTCTAGATGGATATGAAGAGAATGTGCTCCATTTTATTTCTGTTGTGTGTAGAAGTATGCAAGTGAAGATCTGTCATATCACTATACTTCACTATACTCCTCGCTCCAGCTTGTGGACAGTGTGTGTGAAGCAAGTAACAAACATATGGTCAACAGAGTATACTTAGAAGGTCTTGCACACTCATTTGACACTAGAACAAGTAAAATGAAGTGTACTCAGGCCTTCTCTCCTATGTCAGCTGCATGGTCAGGTAAGTTAGGTACTTGTTTTTCCTGGGAGTTCTGTAGAGTTTATCTGACTTTAAGGATAAGAATCAGGGGAACAAAGCAGTTCATGTTATTGGAGTCACAATGTGCTCGTGTTAACACCCCTTGCTCTTCCCAAAAGATAGTGGATTCTTAAAGGCAAAAGGTATCTGTTTGTCTATTACAGCACTTACCATAGTTGTTGGTTAAAAAAAAAAGTTTGTATGAAATGGACCTTACCTAGGCAGTCCATCAGTTCATCCAATCTGGGCATGGGGTACATGTTGAACTTGGAGATGTCATTCTGTTTCTGGAAATGCAGAATCTGTGGCTTTGTATCTATCATGATGGAGCTGATCCATGGGCTTTTCAATGTTTCAGTTACACTCATACATAACATGCACTGTACCTGTTTGCCTCAGAAGGGTCACTGGCTAATGGTGACTCCAGGAATGTTAATGATTTATTCTTTCGTAGTGTTTCCCAACCTTTTTTTATTACTCTCAGTTAGGCTCAATTACCCCCTCACTGACACCAATCCTTACTGTGATACCAAGCCTGTAGATCCATCCTCAGCCACATGCCTCCTCTGCATTCTCTCGCAGTTTTTACTTAACATCTCAACAGGTTTGTCTGTTTGTAGGTGGTAAACTGAGGTACATAGCTGTTTTACTTGCAGCAAGTTGAACAGTTTGGTAAAGAGTAACTGAACATGTGCAGATTGGCCTGTAGGTGTGCGAGTGAGAAAATAACTCATGTAATTTGAAAGATTCACACCATTGATGAATTTTGTTCCTGTCACCTATGACCTGCTGGAACACGTCAGAATATACTATAAGAGAAACTCTCTTCTGGACTCTCAATGTGGTTAGAGCATGAACCAGAGCTTCATCACATCAAGTGAATCCTTCCAGTCAAGTTTTCTCCTGGACTAGTTCTGGGTCTGTGAGGTTTGGTTTGTTTGCTTGTTTTAGTCCTTAACCCACACTTGTGTCCCTCTGGGGAAAATCCAGTCTCACTTGTGCTCCTTCTGTGAGTTCGGCCTCTGTCCTGTTGCGAGGATTGAGCACGCTCACTGCTTGCTGTGTGCAGTTGGGTGGGTCTATAGCAGCTTATCCACTAGGACTCTTTCTTGGTCAGCAGCAGGTTGCTTGGTGAGGAGCAATCTATGAATAAGACGCCCTTATTGGGATGCTTGAAAAACTCATGCTTCACTGGTCCTCTTTCTCTGCAAATATCTCAAACATATTCCAAACATTTGTGCTTCCACAAGACTTTGAGCTTTGTAGGAAATTGGTAAATACTTTTTTTAAACAATATTTTGTGCATGTGTTTGGAACATCTAATTGCTGTTAACTAGGGGTGTAACGGTACACAGATGTCACGGTTCGGGGGTCACGGTTCGATATGATTTCGATACAACAGGAAAAAAACAACAAATCTACTATGCTAGGTTTCTTTTCTTGTAAGGGCTCATGCACACCAAACGGAGACGTCCGCACAGTGACGGTTCGGTACGAACACATGCCAAGAGTCATTCTCGCCTATTTTCAAGGACCATGGTGTTTTATTTTAAAGGGCTCCCCGGGTATTAAGATATGTATAGCTTAATATAACGTAAATGATGTCTCTTACTGAAATATGTAGTAGAAACCCCATGAAAGATGTATGTTATTTTAAAAAAATCGACATTGTTTTTGGACTATGGGGGGTGCCATTATTTGTTGTGCACAGTACATTCTGCATCGATAATGTCAAATGGTTGCACTCGGTGAGCTACTGGCGCTTTTTACCGCAACACAACTCGCAATACACAACTCAGAAAACAAAATACTGATACGATACCACATTGTGTGGTTTTTGGTTGTAATTTTCAGTCGAAGGGCAACAAGAGAAGCGATGTAAGACTTCACTGCTTTCCTTGCAATAAGATGAGAAAAGAATGGGAAGATGCTGTGGATGAATAAAACTTCCTAAAGACCCGCTTCTTTCTTCTCTCCACTTTAGCCCTGATGCTTTTGAGGCTTTTAGTAGACCACAGCTACTGAAAGAGCTTACAGATGGCCGAGACAAGAAACGCTAGATGCCATTCTGTTAGGATGTAAACATGCCGATGCTTGTCATGACGCCGCGGCCACTGGAGGAGTTTCTCAGCGCGGATTTCACTATATCCAGGGGCATTTAGACTCCTTGTGGGGAAAAATTGATGGTACGGCATTTGGTTTAATCCTATGATTATATCAATCACCACCTCCTTCACCATCATCACCATCCATCACAAGCTCTTTCAGTAGCTGTGGTCATCATATCAGTATTTTATTTTCCGAGTTGTGTTGTGGTAAAAATAGCAACAGGTAGCGGCAGTAGCTCACCAAGTGCAACCATTTTACATCATCAAAATAATGGTGCCCCCATATAGTCCAAAATATGTATAAAACCATGTGAATTTTTTAAATAACATACATCTTTCATGGGTTTTCTACTACATATTTCAGTAAGAGACATCATTTACGTTATATTAAGCTACACGTGTCTTAATACCTGGGGATCCCTTTAAGATTTAAAATTGTACCAAAATGTTCTTCTGAATTACATCTGGACTGCATCTATAATGTGAGGGAGTCGTGACAACTGAGGTGTGGATCCAAATGCAGGCTTTATTTAAAACATAGTCAGACAGGCAGGGTCGAACTCCAGCAAACAATATCATCCAAGGCAGAGGCAAAAGAGTAATCCACAAACAGGCAAAGGTCAGGCCAGGCAGCAAAAACACTCAGAAACCAGGCAAACAGTCCAAGATCAAAAACACAAAGGCATTTAAACACGGGTACAAGGAAACAATAAATAGCGAGGTGTGTGTGTGTGTGAGTGCAATCTTTATAGTCCTCCTAATATGAGACAGCTCAGAACTGAGATCTGATGAGTCCAGGCAAAGGATTATGGGCAATGGAGTCCAGGGTGAATGGCAAAGGTACAGGATAGTGCCCTCTAGCGGAGCTCGGTGTGGGGATTGCAACAGCATCACTATGGAAGAGTATTTACTGGTGTGTTGGTTTCTCTGCTGCAGTGAGGCTCGTGTCAGAGGGGTGCAGTTGCGATGGTGGCAGCCGCGGCACGAGGGTGCAGGGCATGATCAGTGGGCGCTGGACCATGTGGAAGTCATTCTGTGAGTACTCCTGCCTGCAGACATCAAACCAGCCTTATGATAATCATTTCTCTTTCACTCAGACATCAGTAAAATCTTTCAGAAAGCTGACACCTGTGAGAAAAGTGCTTAGATATGCTTAGATATTTACAAGGCAAGAAAATTATCCTATTAGGTTTATAATGAAGTATGCTCATTATTAATACTATAGTTTCTACATGGTGCTGCATTGCTGATAGACATTAAACACTCCCCGTTCTCATCCTACACACACACACACACACCTCTCACTCAAGGTCTGGTCTCTCTCTCTCTCTATCTCTTTCTCTCTCATCACTGCCCTCCACATGTTCACTGCACTCACCCGTCTGCCTCCACCATCATGCGCTGTTCTGCAATAACCTTTCCCTTTCCTGACCTCCACTTAAATGTATGTTCCTCTTTGGAACCCCGCTGTTTTCACTCCCAACATTCAACTCTGTTGACACTGCATTCCCTCTGTTGCTCTGCTACTGCTGGCGCAGGTCAGGGTTCTTCCACCCCCAGACCTTTGTGCAAGCCAGCAACAGCCCTGTCCTGCATCTTATAACCTTTCCTCTCTTCTGTATTCTGCTCCCTATGGCATGGCTGTAGTGTCAGGTAAGTGCGTTGCTGTTCCCAGAATGCACCAGTGTTCCCTGCCTTTGGTCTTCCCTCATTGAACCTTTCTTGTACATCCCTGTAGACCTCATCACCCCATACAGGTGGAAAAATAAAGGAAACAGCACATGAAAAAGTTAACTGAAGTTAATAATAATTTAGGTAAATCAATTAAAATTGCAAATGCAGCACAGCACGTTCATTAGCTATTAACAATACATTGTCATCTTGAATATGCAACAGCTGTTAAATCAGTAGAACCATATTTCAAGAAGCACTGAAACTAAAGTTATAACAGTATGTCAATATACAGTTCTGTGCAAAAGTCAACATTTTTATTTTAAGATTATACTTTTTGCTTTAGTGTGCCATATTGTTTTTGCCCAGTACTGTGTGCATGTCAAACTGTCTGTTGTTTCCATTGTTGTTTTCCCCTGTATCCTACCCATCTAATCTAAATACTCTTTCCTCTACACAACTGGAGGCTAATGTCTCCCAATACAGAGCTAACATTTCATTTTTGGTTTTATACAGTAATTAATCATATACTTGAAAATATTATGGTCAGGGACAGGTCACTGGAGGATGTGACAGGAATAACGCATCCTATATACAGCTGGAGTGTCAGAAACTAACTAAGCACAACACTGTATGCCAAAGGATGTACTCAAGCCAACATAAAGCAAAATAGTGTAGCAGTGAAATGAAAGACTCAGTGTATGCTCACTGGTCACTTTATCAGGTGCACCTTTCTAATTCTGGGTCGGACACTCTTTGGCCCCAGAATAGCCTGGAGTCATGATTGGCTGATTAGACACTTGCATTAGCATGCAGATGTACAGGTGTCCCTAAAAAGGCTACTGAGTGTATAAGAGTGAACCCTTCTGGACACGACTCGAACATCCAAGGGAAAAAGTGAGAATGATGTAGATACGCTGAACAGGGTGAACAGATGACTTGAGAAAGAAGCCATTCTTTTCTGAACCTTAATTTACACAGTGATCACACTTCTCACCATCGGGGAGTCAGTTCCCACAATTCATGCGTCCTGTCGTGGTGTGTTAAAGAAATATTTCACCCAAAAATGAAAATTTTGTCATCATTTACTCAATCTTGTACAATCAGGCCAGAAACACACTGAATAAGGAGATTAGAGTGGCCAAGAGGAACTACGCTAAAAAGCTAGAACACCAGTTTTCTGCCAATGAGCCTGCATCAGTGTGGAAAGGCCTGAAAGACATCACCAACTACAAGACACCATCCCCCTCATGTCATCCCAAACCTGTATGAGCTTCTCTCTGATGTTGAACACAAAAGAAGATATTTTGAAGAATTTTGACAAACCAAACAGTTGTTGGCAGCCATTGACTTCCATAGTAGGGAAAGAAATACTATGAAAGTCAATGGAGACCATCAACTGTTTGATTACCAGAATTCTTCAAAATATCTTCTTTTGTGTTCAACATAAGAGAGAAGCTCATACAGGTTTGGGACCACATGAGGGTGAGTAAATGATGACAGAATTTTCATTTTTGGACGAACTATTCCTTTAATCTCATCTGTCATTATACAACTTGAAGCTTCCTGGAGGGGTGGAATTTTAATAAGATTAAAATGCAGTCAAACATTACATGTGTGTGCATGCTTGGTAAAGAGCCGGTTCCCCGTCCCAGGTCCCTTAATTGTGATTGTATTTGTCCATGATGCATTGCTAACTTTGTGTGTGGTGGCTGTATCTGCACTAGTCCAGAGACTCACAGATAAGCACAGATCCCTTTCACCGGTCCTTCACCCTCATCACAGCACCATCTCCCACCCTCCTGTCCCTTCATGCTTTGCAGACGCCCCTTCCTGTCCTGGCTGCGTTCCTGGCTCATTGGTCCCAACCTGACGGACAGAAGAGGCAATGACAGGCTAAGCAATAGTGACTCTCAGAATGTTTTCCACATTTTTTGACTCTGTCTGTCTGTCTGTCTGTCCTCCTCACAACCTCTCACTGTTATTACGTTTGGTCTCTTGATCTTTTTCCATCTGTCAGTCTTTCCTCAAGCTCCAACCTCAAGCACTACTCTATAGATGTCTTCACTCAAAACCAGATTGCTGTCTTTGTCTCTTACCAAACAATTACGATGCACTAGCTCCAAAAGACCATGAAATGAAACGATGACAGTGTTTGAGGTTACGAGTGAACGATCTGTTTGATTCTGTAGTTTGTGGATTCAGTGCTATGTGAATTCTAAAAGAAGCCTAGTTAGGATTTAGAATAGCGACTGCGCACGAGAACTCTTTCCTGGAATTGTTAAACCTGTCTGCTTTCCTCTTCACAGCACCCGTAAACAGAACTACATGATGAACTACTCCAGACAGACCGGTCTTCACCACTATTACAACAGGAAGAGGCGGGCCTTGCGGCAACAAACCTAAACGCTTTGAGAGAAAAACCTGCCGCTCACACATTATTCTGCTGGCTACAATCCGCTTTCCCTGATGAGAAAACACCACGTCAGGTCACTTCTGTCAGCATCTGGCCATACTCTCTCATCTGAATGATACATTGGACCATCTAGTCCCATTTCTAGCCAATCAATGCCTTCCCAGAGCAGTGTGATGGGAAAGACAAGCACCTAAATGTGGCGTTTTTGTATACTTATCTATGAACTATTGGGTTTCCTAATTCTGTTTATTATAACCTTGTTTGAATTCTCCTGATGTGAACGACTACAAAGCTCTCCTGCTCTCACCTCACTTTCTACCACACTGTGAAGTTATTCTGATGGTTATGATGATCATTACTAGTGCTGATAAAGTTCTGAAGAGGAGAACTGAAGAAGACTCGTGCTGAAGCAGTTTCTTGGATGAAGATAATGACAATGTGTTTTGCTGTTGTGTCTGTGGGTTCGTTTTGTGATGCATTGATTGTGGTGTTCCAATCATTTGTTAGTTTTATACTAACTTGTATCTTTTGGGCTTGGATCATTTTTCCTTTGTGAAACAAGGCAAGTGGAGAAGTCAGCCTTGGAGAGGGAAAAATAATCAAGCAGAGAATGAAAAGAAAGAATACATTTAAAAAGAGAGACTAACGATGTTTTGTTGTTGTTGATAAATCACTTTTTTATATATCTTGGTTCCTTAAGAATATTTATGGTAAATGGTTCTCCACTAAACCTATTTAAAATACACTGTGGGTGAAATCTGTGTTGTTGTTTTTTTCTGTTTGTTTGTTTTTTGTTTCAGTTTGTTTTGTTAGGTTTAAGTTATTAGGTCAGGTTCTTGGTTGCGATCGATCGACACCCTTCTCTTCTCATTCAGAGTCATCCAGTTACAGTGCTGTTACACATCTCCTCATGTCCACTCTTTCTTTGATGAGCTGTCAGTGATGTTTATGATGTTACCTTCTCCCCTTCTTGGTGTAGCTCTCCAATATAGCAAGTTCTTGTATATATATATTGTATATAAATATATATATGCAGGGATCCATCCGCCTTATAAAAGGGAAATAAAGAACTGTCAAAACCTCCAGCAGAAGAGTGGTGATTTATTAAAGTGTTAGGTTAAGACAAATGCTCGTATACAATTCATATCAGATTTATATCCCCATTTGTGACCCTGGACCACAAAACCAGTCATAAGGGTCATTTTTTTTTAAATTGAGATTTACACAGCTGAACTTTACTTATCCTAATAATTTTTGGCATAAAAGAAAAATGGATAATTTTGACCCATACAATGTATTGTTGGCTATTGCTACAAATATACCTGTGCTACTTATGACTGATTTTGTGCTCCAGGGTCACATATATGAAAACCGATCTAAGACCTAAAACCGATCAGGGAATCCACGTGATTTTTCCTGCTTACACGTTTGTGGGTCGTATCCGATCTGTACCACCTGGGAGGGAAAAAATGGAATTGGGTCATTTGAACCATGTAATGTAAATGCGACCTTAGTCTAGTTGTTCGTGCAAAAGTACTTTTTATTTTTAACATATTGTTTGCAGCAACAGAGCAAACGTAGGTAGAAATTCTGCAGCAGGTGACCTCACAAACGGGTTCGGCCGAGCACAGAAGACCCACGAGGTCCTGTGCACTAGACCAGTGCTGAGCTACTTCTAGAAGCAGAAAGTCCCGGATGGACTCCTGGGTTTCTCACAGGACCAGACTGGACTCCTGGTACAGGAAACCCCTGCAGGGGTGCGTTTAAAAAAAAACAACTGTGGTCGCAAGTTCCATTGTTAGCAACAGCAGAACTTGTGACTGTAGTTGGCTAATGTTGCTTTTGGAAAGCACACCCCAGATACGGTTTTGCATTACACTCACCACTGAATGACAAAATCACATTACCTGTCTGGGAATTGAACCTGGGCCATGGCAGTGAGCGTGCCAAATCCTACCCATCAGACCACATGGAAGGCCTTGCGTTAACTGACCCTTTACAAGAACTGAATCTTGCTCGAAGGTGACTGATGCTAACAGTCCCCTCGACTCCAAGGCCACAAAACTGCTGTTCTGTATGGACTGCTGTCTGCTGGGTTTTTAAGTAGAGTAGCTGAGCATAAAGAAGACAGTTTCACGAGTTCACACTTACATATAATAAACTGAGTAAAGGTTATGCGTATTTGGCATGCTGTCCGGGGAGAGGGCTCCGAGCTTGGTAATTACTCTCGAGCCCGGGGTACTCCCCCTTTCCGGGGAGAGGGGTCCGAGCTCGGCTTTTAGCCCGGACCCAGAGCGCTCCCCCCAAGTGCTCCTCCCCGTGCTGGGGTAGGAACGGGCTGAAGGTGAGGAGTCAGGGTGGTGGAGGGATGCTGAAAGACTAGAGATAATGAAGGTAAGACTGCTTTGATTATTTATAGGGGTTCTCTCTTGTGCTGGTTGGATAGAGGATGTAATTACTGATGATGGATTGGCCGTGTTAATTATCTGCGCATGCTCCTCCCGAAATTTGTTAATAAAACATCACTTCACGAGTTCACACTTACATATAATAAACCGAGTAAAGGTTATGCGTATTTGGCGTGCTGTCCGGGGAGAGGACTCCGAGCTCGGTAATTACTCTCGAGCCCGGGGTACTCCCCCTGTCCGGGGAGAGGGGTCCGAACTCGGCTTTTAGCCCGGACCCAGAGCGCTTCCCCAAGATGCAATTAGGGACAGCAGCCAGAGAGGGGCGTTGATAACCCCTCAAAATTTGCAAAGCTTAAGATTGGTGGGGTGCTGGACATCGCTTGTAGTAGCGGCACTGCTATGGCTTTAGAAGAGAGAACTCGAGGCTCCTGCGGGAGCTGATACTGCTGTGGCATCTGAAAAGAAAAACTCCTGTGTGGGAACTACTACGGCATCTGAAAAGAGAAGGTGGCTTCTGCGGAAGCGGGCGCTGCTGCGGCATCTGAAAAAAAAACTCCTGTGGGAGTGGGAACTGCTACGGCATCTGAAAAGAGAAAGTGGCTTCTGCGGAAGCGAGCAC